TTCCTGATCCGGTGGTTATGTGACAGAGTACAGATGTGACTCAGCCCTTCAGAGTTTAAAATCATGTGTAATTGTTTAATCAATTATTTTCTTATAACATCGGTAGATTGTAATAAAGATAACTCTGTCTTGGATGATAACATTGCTCAAAATATGTTTGTCATCTGATTTACATAATTTCCTTTAGTTTGTCCCTGTAAAATAGGCTGGACAGGTAGACAATATTAACCTAATTTTATAAACAGGACACTAAGATTTAGTAAATTAATCACCTTGACTTAGAAACTTCACAGGTGTCAAGGTGAGACCAAGATTTTGGCTCCTGACTGAAAAATGTTGCTCTTTGCCATACCCTGGGTGCCTTTTGTTTTATGTTGAGCTAATATTCCTGAGGACATTATGCTACAGGATAACCAGACAAAGACAAATGCTATGTGAAGTCTCTGACATGAGGAATCTGAAACAAGACAAAACACAACCATGAAAGCAGAGAGTAAAACTGGTTACCAGGGGGTGGAGAGAATGAGAGAGATGTTTAAGGATACATACTTGCAATCAGTAGGTAATTATGTCCTGGAGACCTAATGCACAGCCCAGTGATTACAGACAACAAAACTGTATTACAGACATTAAACTTGCTAAGATTAGACTTTAATTTTTCCCAACATTAGATGAAATGAAAGTTATGTGATGTAATAGAGGTGTTAGCTAATGCTACACTGGCCATCCTCTTGCAATATAAATGCATCAAATCAATATGTTGTACACCTTAAACTTAGAAAATGTACGTCAAATATATCTCAATATTATTAAAGAATTAGAAAGGGCTCACTATGTGTCAGATGCTCTAAATTTAATGAATTCATATAATTCTCATATCTGTTCCATGAGGGAGATTATATTTTACAGACTGGAGCCCACAGTCACTCAGCTTGCTAATGTCAGAGCTGAGCTTTGCAAAACCTCTAAAGGGAGATCAGGGCTACCCAGTTAGGTGTATAGGCTCATTCTTCTAGCATTTTCTGAAAAAGCATGGAATCAGTAGAAATTGTAGCACAAGCAGAGAGATGTGAGGAGAACAGAGACTAACATTGATTGTCCACATTTTTGGACTAGATGTGGGGCTTTACATTTATTCACTTGACTCATTCAGTACTTAGCCCCCCAAAATATTGTACTATTCTATTTATTCATCACAAGTACTCTATAGGACAGGCACTATTCCATTTGACAAATGAGAAAACTGAGACACAGGGCTGGTAAATAATTGGCCTCGTTTCAGAGCCAGGATTGAACACTAGTGAAATCCCACCCCAAAGTTGTAATATTTTCACTTCGGCATTCCTGCCCAACAATCCATTTAACTCGGTTGAGTAAATGCAGATATGATGGTGTCTGGCAATCCTTGGGCTATAAATAACTCACAGATAGCTCTGACCATCGCAGCCAAATTTGAGGTAGGCGTCAAGGCACTTCATAGCACTTTTTGAACAGTCGGCTTTTACTGAGTTTTTTCCCCTGGCCTGGTGTACGACATTAATGCAGATTTTCACCCAATGCTTCTTAGTCTTTCTTATCCAACAGTTATTCCCTTTGCAGTACTTTAGTAGATTTTCTTGTGTGTCTAACGCAGATGAACTTGTGCTGGCCATTTCTCACTTAGCGTCTCTCCCCCTGCCTGGCGAGATCCCCTTGTATAACAGTCAGACCTGTAGCATCCCCTTTGATGCCGGCACCTGTCACTGAAAAGGCCTTCGATAAACGTAGATTGAGTGCATGTAGAGTAATCCGGAAAATGTCAAATTAGTATTACAGTGACTTCGCCAGACTATCGATTCTTCTTGTTAAACTAATATTGATTCTTCTTGTAAAATTTATATTTATCATCAAGGGATCAAGGTTCATGTAAGAAGTAGGTTTTCAATTATTGCACAAAGCAATTAAATATCCAGACCTGTGATGAATCAGGCTTACAAGTGATCTTAAAATGTGAAATATTGGGGTGTTTCCTGATTGCCAGAACTAGAGTATTTCTACTGGGAGTCCACTGTCGCATTTGTTACACCCAGAATAAAATCACTTGCTTAGCTTCCATGTATCATGTATCAAGGAAATCATTTTGATGCAGGAGCCATTCAGTTTCCATGTCTTGAGCCCTTTTCGGTTGTTCACTCAAAGCTCTCTATAGGCATAGATCACCCTAATGACTAAATAAGATGTTATATTGACAGCAAAATAAAACAAGTAAAGCCTGCTGTAAGAAACAAGTAGGTCTGCAACAATGTTTCTTCAATAATATCCTTAAGGTTTCCTTTTCTGTATCTCAACCCTACGCCTCCCTCCACCTCTACCAATAATAAAGCAGGTAAAGACAGAAAAACAAAAGCCCCTCAAAAATATTAATGCTAAATCGTAACACACCTAACAACAAAATATTTTCCTATCTCTAATGAATGAGTGGAGAGATAAGGAAAATTCCCAGTCTGCTAGTGATCAGAGTCTGAGGCTAGCCTAATATAAACTAATGTGTATGTTAAGTCTATAGTAATATAATGATCAGCATGGTTTGCCAACTTTAGAGTCTTGGACTTTTAACTAAAGCAGTTACTGTAAGATGTTTTCATTTTTTTTTTTTTGACACTAAATTCTCAGGAAATTGAACTACACAAAAAGGATAAATCAATGTATTAAATAAAAATAAAGGGGTAGTTTAAATTTATAAGAATTGTTTTTAAAAATTCTGAGGAGCACCTCGGTGGCTCAGTCATTAAGCGTCTGCCTTTGGCTCGGGTCATGGTCCCAGGGTCCTGGGATCAAGCCCGGCATTGGGCTCCCTGCTCAGCGGGAAGCCTGCTTCTCCCTCTCCTGCTCCCCCTGCTTGTGTTCCCTCTCTTGCTGTGTCTCTCTGTCAAATAAATAAATAAAATATAAATAAATAAATAAATAAATAAATAAATAAATAAATAAATAAATAAATAAATAAATAAAAATTCTGAGTTGTTTAGAGCTAGTGGTTTTGTAGTGGTCAACAAGGATTGTTACGGAAGCTGGATTGGATCGCCAGGTGGAAGAACCAAGCGGCACTCGGAGATCTTGGAGGATAGGAGGTTTATTTAATGCCGCGGGCTCAGAGGAGAGTGGTCTCCAAAGGTCTGAGCCCCGAGCACAAAGGGGGAAGTTTACACACTTCTACTTCCGCATACTTGGCACTTTTGGTGCGTGCACGAAGCGGGGCAAAGAAGGACCCGGAAGAGTCCCGGGGCAGGGGCTGGGACTCTTGCTGGCTCGGTGAGCCATCTTTAAGACACAGATTTCCCTTATCAGGATGAGTACTTAAATTAAACACACACACACACACACACACTTCTTAAACCTAAATTCTCTTAAAAGTAATTTGCTTAGGAAGAAAGCAAACTGCGGAGACTGAGAGTCTTGAGCCCAAAGAGGATGAGAGAGGATCAGTGAGGCAAGGAAGGACTGCAAAGTCCAGCCTTCTCTATCTTCACATGGTGGTGGCAGCAGAAGAAAAGGGTTAGAGTCTAAGAGGCAGTAGCCATCGTTAGTGGAGGTAAAACTAAATGGTCTTAGTGGGAGAGGGGAAAGGAACAGTAAAAGAATAAATATGTATTTAATGAGTCTACTATGATCAAGACCCCATTTCAGAATGCTTAAAGCACTGCCACCGTAGGGTGCAGAAGAACAGAGGTTGAGTAACACTGATCAACCCCATTCCTTTATTCTATAGATGAAGACCCTTCACCATCCTGGAAAGATAATTCTCCAAAGAGCAAAGCCACTTAGTGGCTTATATTGGCATTAAAACCCAGGTCTCTTGGTCCCCATATTTTACCTACTATACCATAATGTTTCAGAGAATAGTTTTCTTAACGTTCTTACATTGAATGAATTTTGTGAAACTGGATTATTTCAACTTTCTGTTGCTAAATAACTTTTAAATGCTAGTGTGTTTTGTTAGTCATTGTGCTAAACTGATCAGGAGCAAAAAAGGAAAAAAGAAAAGAAAAAACAGAAAACCATGTCATGAAAAATGTAGCTCTTCTAGACAATGCTTACTAACTGGAGATAGCATACTTTACTTTAAAGTACCTGTAGACTTTTTATTGTTAAATTTAGAAGAATCACAAATACAAATCTTTGCCCTTATCTGAAACATTTTCTCGTTGGAGTAAAATTTTCTTGTGATCTTTTTGATCATATATCATCTGTCTCTAGCATTTCCAAGACAGCGCCTTTGCTGTATCAAATGTGGCATAATCAGATTTTCACTAATTTGACCAATTTCAGCTTGGTTTTAATGAATAAATACCAGCTTTCTGGGCAAGGAATGATGATTGGAAGAATGAGTATTCCTTGGAGAAGAAATAACCCAAGCAAAGTACCAAGTTATGGATGCGGTGAATTGGAGTGAGGATTCATGGAAGTCTTGGAAGGCTCATACAATGGCCCCAGTGAAAGATGATCTGTAGAGAACAGTGAGAGTTGGGTAGATCAGAGAGATTCAAGAAATTTCTTGTCAAAGCACCTACCTGACTTAGGGATGAACTGGATGTGCGTAGTGAGAGAAAACGGAGAGCTATGGAGCATGACATCAAATTTCTAGCATGGAAAGCTGAGTGGCTAGTGATGCCTTAACTGAAATGTGAAAAGACTAGAAAAAGAAGCAGATTTGGATATTTAGACTATAGTTCTTGAGTGAATTCACATGTGTTTGTTTGGTTCAGCTGAAGTTTTAGATTTAAGGGTCCTTTGCATGTTGATGGTTTTGGTAGGCAGACTTCTAAGATGGCCCCCAATGATTCCTATCTGCTGGAATTCATATGCTGTGTAATCCTTCCCCTTGAGAGTGAACTGAACCAAGGATTTGCTCCTAACCACTATACTATTGCAAAGGTGATAGGATGGCACTTCCATAATTAGGTTAGAAAAAGTTCGACTTCCACTTGGCTAACAGATTTCTTCTCTTACTGGATTTGATGAAGCACTGAGGACAGCCTGCAGCCATTGGCTGGTGAGGAACTGAGGCCTTTTGTCCAACAACTCTTAAAGAACTGAATCCTGCCAGCAACCATGAGTATGAGCTTCAAAGAGGATTCTTCCCTAGGAAGCCTCAGGTGAGACTCCAACCCTGGCTAACACCTTGGTTGCATTCTTACAGGAGACCACAAAGCCAAAGACCCAACTAAACTAGAGCCAGATTTCTGACCCACAAAAATTATGAGATAGTAAATGTGGTGTGCTATTTTAAGCCACTAAGTTCTGAGGTAATTTGTTTCATAGCAATAGATAACTAATACAATGGTAGTTACAATCATGGGGACAAATGAGATTTAAAATAAAAAGAGTTGTCCCAAGACAAATCTTTGAAGGAAATCAAGAATATCTTTGGGCTTCTGCTCTCTCTTCATTACCATTGCTGAGTTTCCAGATTCTCAGTTCTTTTATCTGTCATCTATCCCTTTGTCAAAATGAAAATCAATCTGGCAAATTTATTCCCAGTAAAGTGTTTTTCATCATAATGTGCTAATTGAGAGTGCAGAATATTTGTATTTTAAGAGAGAAATCAAGGAGAACTACTCAAAGGCTAAAATATCTGGCACAGATATTTGTGAGTGAGAACTTGGCCCTACCCACACAGCCCCCTAAGTCATTCCACATGGGTGACTTCTTGCTATTCCTGAGTTTAAATATGAACTTTTATCTGCCCATGGAAATACTTAAATATAATTTTGTTTGATTCCAGTTTTAACATTGTGATTTAAGATTCTCAAGGGTGAGCAGAGTTTAAATTCATATCAAAACAAGGCCTTGAGTAAAGTACTTGCATGAAGTATCTTTTACTTTCCAGATTGATTTGGAAATTCAATGTTGACCCTGCCCAAGTGTTCATAGCAATATCAAGTGGCTTTTGCATTCTATCCAAAGGCAGGATGGCATAAATGAACCAGCAGAGCAAATGCTTTTTTTTTTTTTCTGATAAATTTTATTTGGTTTCCTGAAGTGTTTAATTACAATTCTTAGGTAGAATATCATATAGCATATTTTTTTCATAGTATACATTTGGGGACAGACTTCCCTGGAAATTTTTATTTCTCTGAAAGTAAATCAAAACATATTTCACTACTATGACTCTGTTTAGGGGAATATAAGCCCTAGAAAAGGGTCTGAATTGAAAAAGTGAGGAGAAATATGGTTTCCCCACTAATGCTAGCCCCTTTAGCAATGATACATACCAAGAAATATATGTGATACATATTTGATTATCTGCTAAATGACTATGCAGTAAAAGGAAATCAAAAGGAAAATCCAAATTGCCTAAAGGCATAAGACTTCATGGAGTAATAATTTCTCTACCACAATGTTAAGAATTTGCCACATTTTTATAAATAAAAATATAAAATATTAGGGCACAAACTCTACAGAATACTTTATAAAAACATCATTCACAAATCTATGACTTTTCCACCAGAGAGGCCCAAATAGTCATGAGTGTCACAACATTTATGCTTCCATGAATGTACCTACCAAAGAAGCAAAACCCTAACAGCTTTCAGGATTCTCTCTCAGGCCTTCAAAATTTGGATTTTTAGTTACTGGACCACAGAGGTTGTGATTCATAGTCTGAGAAGGGGTTCTAGGCCCGTGTGTTCTAGAATACCTTTTATGTGATTTTGTGCACATCCAAGGTTGAAGGACTACAAGTTCTTAGAATGTTTGAATGCAACTCTTACTACTCCAGAAAATGCGTCTCAGTACTGAAGAGAGCAAACACCACAGGAGGTGTGAGAGGGTTACACATATGCAGATATTCAAACAACTTCTCTGTGAATTTATTCTGTGACGCTTGAATTTTCTCAACAAATCATGGACCAATGAAAAAGGTTAGAGTGTGGAGAAAGAGTAAAGACGTCATAAGGAAAATGTTGTTGGGGAAAACTATTTTCACTCACCCTAATGGAAGAGTGTCTTTCTCCTCATCTCAAGCCTTTCAAGGGGTAACAGGTTTCAAGAGAACCACTCTGACAGCTTTGAAATGTGTTCTCTGTAGTTGAGCCACACAGACAAGTGATATATCTTGCCTGAAATAGTTAAGCAGATGGTGGATAAGCTTAACTGCCAGACAATGTAGGGATGCAGAGAGAGTCTAACAACTGCCTTTAGACAGAATCAGCAGACTGCTGCTATGTGACCAGTGAGCTGCTCTCTCAGAGGTGGGCAGGGCAAAAAGGTCAGCTTGGGGTCACCTTGGGTACTATCCCATACAGCTCTTCTAGGGGCAAAAAGACCCCAGCCAAATAAGGCTGGATGTGGTAAGCTGGAAGCTGGCTTGAGTCTTGATGACTCTTCAGAAGAGAGATCAGTGGTTCATCTGCTGATGTCAAGGGAACCAAAGGAGGGCACAGGAACCCCCAAAAGTCCATGAAAGGACACTAGGAAGAGAAGAATCATCTGCTAGACCCAGAAAGCACAGTTGGCCAGGTAATGATGGTACAATTTCAAGTCAAAATTCTCCAACTCCCTCACTTCCATTTCTTATTTCTTATTTCTCCTTTCTGTGAACCTAAAAATCAGCAGCTAGCCAAACGGAGGGAGCTAACAAGTGAGGAGCGAAGGGTGATGTTATGGTTCAGGCTTGCAGAAAGGAAGGAAGGAAAAACCAGGCGTGGCCCCTTTCTACTGCAGACTTCCATATCTAAGGCTGGGAAAGTAAATCAAGTTCACAGCTTTTATTAATATAGGACCAGACATCCTATTTATCAATTTGAGACAATGTTCAACACATCGTCCATTAACTTTTTAATGGAAGACCTATTATATAAGAATGAAAGAAAAGTCATGGTGCCTATATCTATTTTCATCCCTGAAGGAATATCCTCACTGAATACATTTTGAATGGGCAGTGGGAGTAAAAAATAAGGTTGCCTCTTAACTATGTCATATGATATACTTATTGTTAAATTATATTTATTAACTTAACAGAGTGATATGATTACAGAAGAATAAAATGACCATGGAATTTCACCTAGAAATTCATACAGATATTCATATAGATAAGTATTCGGGATGACTTGTTAAAAAAAATAATGTCTGGATTGAAGACCATTTATGGAGCATTTTAATTTTCTATCCACTGAGACAGAACACTTTTTAATTTTCACCTATAATTTGTACTTACAGCCATCTCAATGCCTGTGGCTAATGAATCTGTAGTTGTTCGATAGAATTTACCCTGTGGTACTTAGATTATTTATTTAGTGTTCGTATATTTTCTTGAACTGGAAAGAATTTTAAGATGACTTTATAAGAGACTTTTATAATAAAACAGTAAAATCAAAATAGAAATGTGGGTTCAGTCCAGGGAAATATAAAGAGAAATTCAACCTGATAGAAAAGAAAAGCTCTGTGTATGTATATATAGAGAGAGAGAGAGAGAGAGAGAGAGAGAGCCCATAACCACATACAGATGGTTAAGAGGCAAACCATTTATATTTCTTGTTCAGCTTCCTGGAGACCAAGGCCCAAGAAAAACTCACTGTATAATCTTCATTATCAGAAGTGTCATACCATACCTTCATGAATACTATGTTTTCCTAAGACTACTCTCAAAAAAAAAAAAAAAAATTCTCATTAAGTAGTCTCGTTAAGTGAGATCTATAAGTAATAAGTAAGAGATACCAATAGAAGTGACATAGAGACAAAGGCACCGGTAGCCCAGCTTTTTACCAAATCTCTGGCATCAAAATTTGCATTGTTCTTAGATAATGAATGAAAAAAAAAAATATTGGTATATGTATTAGATTCCGGGGGCTGCTGTAACAAATGACCACCATCCTGATGACCAAAAATAACAAAAATGTATTCTCTCACACATCTGGAGACCAGAAGGCCAAAATCAGTTTCACTGAGCTGAAATCAGGTGTTCTTGGGGTCCTCCATCTTCCAAAAGATCTAGGGGAGAATCCATTCCTTGCTTCTTCCAGCTTTTGGTGAATGCCCATATTCCTCAGCTTGTGGCCACATCACTCTGCCTTCATTGTCACACTGCATTATTCTCTTCTGTGTAAAATCTCTATCTGCCTCCCTCTTACAAAGATACATGTGATTTAGGGCCCACCTTGATAACCTAAAATAATCTCCCAATCTCTATACCCTTAATTTAATCACATCTACAAAGACCTTTTTTTTCCTAATGTAAAGTAACATGCACAGGTACCAGTGACTATTTTGGAGGATCATTTTTGAGTCTACTACAACACATAAACAACAATAGATACATTACATAACATGCGGAATAAGATTTTGTATACACTCCTATACTTTGGATAAGAAACTGGCATTCAAAATCCAGAAATCATGTTGGATTTCAATAACATCTTCATTAATGTAATTAATTCTCACATCATTGCTAAAAGTAGAATTTTTAGGTCTCAGCAGTGAAAATAAAGTAGATTTCTGGAAGCGAAAAGATACTGGTGAAATGGTCTGTGTAAATGTGGGACCAGGTTATTATAAAATTCCATTACTCACAAATGCCTCTACTAAGAGTTCTACGTAAGGAAGGTAAATTTATTGCTATCCCTTTAGGATAGTAAAATCCAAAATAGCTCAATGTGGGCCTTAGCTCACCACAGAATTTTAATGCTAGACAGGATCTCAGCCCATCATCCTTACTTTTGAGATAAGGAAAGTGAGACTCAGCCAAATGCCTGCTCTTAGTTCCCAGAGCTCATAAGTGGCAGGGATCAGGACTAATACTTCCTCACTCCTGGTCCATGCTCTTTCCTTTGAGCTATGCAACTCTCTTTTCTGTTTGGTCATTTGCTGAAATAAAAGCTGGTTTTTACCATTCTTCTATGCAGGTGTCTTCGATCCTTAAAATTAAAGCACATTAATTCGAATTTAAGTCTTTATTTCTAGATTGAATAACATAAATACTCCTGTTGACCCCCTAGAAACGAAAGTCTGATCTGTAAAAGAGGGAATTTAGGAGGGCGGCCCTTAATAGTCAACCACTATTAGGTTAATTCAAAGGAGTTGGTTTAGTTAAGATTCAGCATAAATGAAAGGAGACAAAACCTGCAAATGCACTCAGTCCAGAAACATCTACAAGAAGCAGTGAGCAGGACTTAATCTGTAACAGCTGGGGAGGCTTCTATTTACAAATTAATTTAAGATGCAGAAATATTCTCTCTCACACCTAGTAAGTTGGTTTGTGCTTTTCTAAAAACTCACTGGCTATATATTATTTCTCATGAAGAGAGGCTTGATAAAAGGGCACAATGTCATGCTGATATCCTTTGTTAATCATTTGCTTTCAAGTTTACCAGGCAAGTTTAGCAAGGAGACAGTTGATTACATGACCTGCTCCTGTGTCTCTAACTGATGCCAGGAAGCTATTTGACAAATCCAGCTTTAAAAACCTGAGTGGGTGAGTGATTTTGAACAGATTTTGTTCCTGTAGTTGTTCATTACATAAAATACAGGCGACATTACAACATGGTCCAGATTTTTTCTCAGAGTATTACATATCGTGTTTAGATAGTTAGAACTCCCCGCTATTGTTTACTCATGTCAATATAAATTACTCTCTTCAAATGAACTCAGGTCACGTAAACTCTGGCTTCCCAGAACCAGAGCATGCTTTATTTTGGAGAGATGTGAATTTCACCTTATTCCTTGAAAATTGAAAAGTCAAATAACAAACAACTTTAGTGTTTGCAATCAATACCTGGTTCAGTAACTCCCTGAGATTGCTTGACTCCAGTGTGAGTTGCAGTGTTGGGAGTATTAAGGACCTGAAATCTTCTTTTGCTATCAACTCCAAAACCAAGATGAGCTGGAGTAGGGAGTTGCCTTTATTACAGGGGTCTGAAGAGGATCTCTGGTTTGTTTTATTTATTTTAAAGCCACAAGCCAATTCAAGGATGATGAATGGTGTCAGTTTGATAGCACCAAAGACTGAAATTCTTCATTTCTTCCAAGGTTTAGCAGGGCAATGACTACTGTTTCTTTTACAGTTTACCAGGTGAAGTGCATTAACCCTTACCTGGATAAGCGGATTCTAAAACTGTGGTATTGGGATCGTGATCTATTCTGACAATCCTTTTCTCCTGATAGCCCTTGTAAGTGTGAGGGTAGAGGTATAAAAAGAGATTCTTTTTACTTTTTAAGAGATTTTTTTTTTTTCAGTTGGAACTGAATAAAGCCTTCTGATTGAATTTATTCAGGTCAGCACAGTGATTGAAGGATAGGGCTGGTATGAATCTGACCCCAACAATGACTGTTCCACAGGCCCAATCTCAGATGGGGTTCAGATTTATTGACCTGAATTTGTCCAGATTGAAAGGAAGTCTCGGGGAAAGTTGACGCTTACATAATCTACCTTTCTACTTTAACAGAAACTTCCTCTGCTCTTTGATTGGCACCAATAGTGGTAATATGCGGGAATGGATATTTCTTGGTTGCTGAGGGACATCTGCGGAACAAAGAGAGAAAAAACTATCTTTCAGCTGGTCATTGCCATCCAGGTAATAATGACTTTTGATTGTTAATATACAATCTGGCTTCAAACGAGAATCATTTTGCCTGATTTGTTTTTCACTTATTCTTTCCCACAAGTAACTAGTTTACAGCATTTAAATATTTTCATTAAAATGATTATAGAAATGCAATGAAAGGATGAAAGACGTTATTTCATTATTTCTTATGCATTCTTTTCTTCAACTTTTTAAACATAATATATATATTTTATTTTTTTAATTTTTTATTGTTATGTTAATCACCATACATTACATCATTAGTTTTTGATATAGTGTTCCATGATTCATTGTTTGCGTATAACACCCAGTGCTCCATGCAGAACGTGCCCTCTTTAATACCCATCACCAGGCTAACCCATCCTCCCACCCTCCTCCCCTCTAGAACCCTCAGTTTGTTTTTCAGAGTCCATCGTCTCTCATGGTTCATCTCCCCCTCCGAGTCCCCCCGCTTCATTCTTCCCTCCTGCTATCTTCTTTTTTTTTTTCTTAACATATATTGCATTATTTGTTTCAGAGGTGCAGATCTGTGATTCAACAGTCTTGCACAATTCACAGTGCTCACCAGAGCACATACCCTCTCCAATGTCTATCACCCAGCCACCCCATCCCTCCCACCCCCCCACTCCAGCAACTCTCATTTTGTTTCCTGAGATTAAGAATTCCTCAGCATAATATATATATTTTAAAAGAAGGTTACTAATAGAGACTGAAGCTGAGTCTATATAAATAATACTAAGAAGGTTTGAAGAACAATTATACCAATAAAATTTTGTTGAAATAATGACGCTGATTGAATTCATGGAATAACCACAATATAACGGTTGTTGCTAAAAGCTTTTGACATAATAATGAAAATACAGCTTGTTTCAAGGTATTTATAATCATCCTGCAGAAACAATAATACACTGGAAAAAAAAAAAAAAAAACGGTTACAATGTGAAACAAACCTGAGTGTTACCATCAAATACTGCATGTCTTATGAAAATTAACCTCCTTTTATAGTGAATCGTTTTTAATACATAATTGTTAAATAAGGTGGCATGGACTTCAAATATTGCTGGAATTCAACTAAAGAAGAAATCAAATGAAGTATAGAGTATGTGAATTGTGAACTAGATTTGGGGAAAAAAGTATATTTTAAAAATAGGATGAAAAAATAATAAATAAATAAGAATAGGATTGGAGGAGGACATTGCCAATTAAAAAAATGCTATCAGATGGTCCAAGCATGGATTATATTGGAACAATGAGGCCTTCTCATTTCTCTAGTGGATGGAACACACTTTGAAATGACTTTAATGAATACCATTTTTCCCTTCATGCAAAACTTTCAAGAAGTGAAAAACTGAGTGATTGTTAAGATAATTTCAACCCATGTCAAAAAATAAAGTGAATTTTAACAAACTAAGTTGGAGGGGGAAAAAGAAAAAGACAAAACACAATTCCTTCTCTTAGAGGATTGAATTTTTGTGTTAAGATTTGCTGCTCACAGCATGACAGATTTTTTTTTAAATCTCTTTCTTGATTTAAAATGATGAAAGCTGAGTGAGAAATTTGCTTGAATTCATTAGACTAATATAACACTTCAGAGTTTACAAGTATAATCACTCACATTACTTATTTTATCCTAGACTGGAGAGAGGATGGCTGGTTCCAGTGTCACTACCATCGAGTGCTGTGACTTTGGCCTTTTATTTGTCTATTTCAAACTTCTTTTGAAGTTTAGTTTTCTTTTCTGTTATATGAAATGATGATAGCCCATCGAGTTGTAAATCCTTTAAAAACATGTGCTTGCTACAGAATCGGCACCCAAGCATTAGTCTCCTACGCAGACTGAGCATGGTCACCATTTAAATGATGGCAAAATCTGGAAAAAGTCCAGTACCTTGTCAAAGGCTTCACAAATGGACGACATAGACATAACAGTAGTCTTCAGATTTACCATCTTGCACTTTTTCTGCTGTGTGGTATAGCTTCGAATAATTTTTCATATGCTCATATTGATGGATGTGAGTCTCTAGATACATTTTTACCTCTATCTAACAAAGCCAACCTCACTTATGTATTTAAGTGGTATGTGTATCACTGTTAGGCCTCTTAAACAATGTATCCATGGGTTATGTGTCTCTGTGCTATTGTTGCTCAAAATCACAGATTAAATTTGGAGCACCTGGGTGGGGGGAAGGGCAATATTTTATATAAAAATAAGAAAACCACATATAAGCCATACGTAATAATTCTATTTTTAATATAAAACAAAAAGTGTGCTTGCAGTTTTAGACCATACGTTTATATGTTTATATGATCATATGTTTATGTGAACATGTTTTCTGCTATGCATAATGGGTTGAAAGGAAGGTTTGATGAGCAATGAAATACCATGTTCAAGATCACAAAGGCATTTGTGTTCACAGAAAGTTACATTTTGCAGAATATAGGCTAGAAGTTGGTGTGGTATCTAACCCTCTCTTTATACTGTAATTTCTATATACTCTTATATCTACTCTTCCCCATTTCTCCTTCTCCATTTTGAATGAAGGAGTACTAAGTATAGCATGACCAAAGGCAACCTAAGGGAGGGGCGTAGAGGGAAGCAAGCCCAATAGGAAAATATGCATAGTGGTTTCCGTACTCTAAGGGACATGATTTTACTTAAGGTAAAATTAAAATTCTTAATTATAGGGGCGCCTGGGTGGCTCAGTTGGTTAAGCGACTGCCTTCGGCTCAGGTCATGATCCTGGAGTCCCTGGATCAAGTCCCGCATCGGGCTCCCTGCTCAGCAGGGAGTCTGCTTCTCCCTCTGATCCTCCCCCATCTCGTGCTCTCTCTCTCTGTCTCATTCTCTCTCTCAAATAAATAAATAAAATCTTTAAAAAAATAAAAAATAAATAAAAATGAAATTCTTAATTATATTAAATATTCTCATATCAGTGGCCTGTGTGTGGGATAAGTAAATTTTAAACTCAATCTTCTATACTGCTCTTCGTGGTGCTGGAGCTGGAGGTCTGTAAACTCATTTCTGCTTTATCTAGCTGGATCCCTGTTGGACTTTGCCAGTAGGGAGTGCTAGAGGGAGGGAGGCTGGAAAGCTAGAGGATGAAAAAAGACTTGCTGCTTTGTCTGCTTCCTGTTCTTGTCCCAGTGGACCCAGCAACACACCTTCTCCCTGCCAGTGACACTCGTTCGGTAAGCACAGTTAATTCCTATTTGCAGTTTTTCCAACATTCCCACTGTCTTGCGTTAAATCACTGATTTAGGCATTATTTCTTTTAAAATCATTTCCTAGTGCCTTGGTTATTATCACAAACAACAGTGACAGATGTTTGCTTGCTTTTATTTTTTTTTTCTCCAACTTGATCTCTGCCAGAAATCTCCAGATAAATCATACTATCTCTCATCTCTCCCCCAAGAATTCTAGATGGGTTGGGTAATCTCCTTTTGTGATTACTGGAAAGAGAATATTCAAATAATTAAAATAAAATTTGTCTCAACACTACAAGCCATGAGACCATGAGGTCTTATTTCAAACCCTGTTTCAATGTGTCCATATAAAATATTACTGAATGAAGTAATTAATTTGAGCTTGCAATTAAAAAAATTCTCTTGAGGGTTTCTATGGGATTAGAAACTATTTTTTTCATTTCCTTCACAGATGCAGCATAAAATGTACCAGAAAACTAAACCACTATACTTCTCACATCTGTTTTTCCTACTTTATATATCAAAAGTCTTCATTTTTTTCTTTTTCTTTTTTTTTTCTCTTCTCTGTGTAATGCTCAAAAGGGCCTTGTGAAGCAAGTATTCTCAGTTTTCGACCATTTCATAGGAAATAAATACCCACAAGATGATTTTTAAAATATTTTTAAAGCTTTCATTTTGAAGATTTTTAATCTTCCAGAAAACTAGAAAGAGTTATATAATAATTTCTTATATACCCAATGTGATGGTTAATGTTATGTGTCTACTTGGCTGGGCCACAGTGCCCAGATATTTAGCCAATGTTATTTTGGATGTTTCTGAGAAGGTGTTTTTAGATGAGATTAACATTTAAATCGGTGGACTTTGAGTAAAGCAGATTGCCCTTTAAAATGTGGATGAGCCTCATCTAATCAGTTGAAGACCTAAATAGAACAAAAGACTGATCTCTTCTGAGCAGGAGGGAATTCTGCCAGCAGACAGTCCTCCCACTTCAACTCCAACAGTGGCTTTTCTCTGGTTTTCAGCCTGCTGACTCACCCTACGGATTTGGGACTTGCCAGCCTTCATAATCATGGAAACAAATTCCTTATTAACTATATATAATTTAGAATAACTATACTCACACACACATATATACCACACACACACCACACACACACATCTTATTAGTTCTATTTCTCTGGAGAACCCTAAAAAATACACCCATTATCACCATTAACAATTAGCAGTTTCTATATTTTCTTAATCTATTTTGTTTGTAATTATTTAAAGTAGATTCAGACATCATGACATTTTGTCCCTAAATTGTTCAGTACATTACCTCAGTAATCTCTGAAAGTAATATTTTCCCAAGAGAATGTCATTATCACACTTAACAAACTTAATAATTCTTTATATCAGTTAATACTCCATCTTGAAATTCTCCCAATGGTCTAAAAAATATCTTGTTCAATCAAGAAGCCAATTAAAAACCAAACATTGTGTTGGGATATGATGAGACATAATACTTTATAGGTGATAGTGTGTAGTTCATAATAAGAAGCACATAATGTCTGCATTATTAGTGGTGCTAACTTTAAACTCTGGTTCAAGAGAATAACAGCCTGATCTCTCCTGTGTAAAGTTACATCTTTTGCTTTCTGTTACCTGTAGGTAATCTTTGTGACTATATTTTGACACCCCATAAAGATCTGTAGCCATCTTTCATCTAGTGATTTTATCATCCATTAATGATCCTTACCTGAATCAAGTATTTTATTAGAGGTTGCAAAAAAATGTTAGCA